GAGGTGGAAAGGGAACAGCTGGCCCGGTAGGGGCCTGGGGCCCCGGAGACCCCGGACTCACCAGGGGCCGGCCGAGCCTGTGGTCCGAGGCCTGGTGCTGGGTGACCCCGGCCCGGTGGTCCTGCTCTGGGCCTCAGTTTCCCCAATGTGCGGTGGGGAGTCCGAGAGAAGTCGCGGTCCCCTCCTCCTGGTCCCTACCCCCATCTTCGGAAGGCGCACCCCCAGCTGGTCTCCCTGGTCGGGCCTGGCCTCTGATCTGTTAGCCTTCGACAGGTGGGTGTACCCATGGGCAAGTCACTCCCCAGAGCCTTGCTGGGAAAAGGAATAGGAAAATGTGTCCCAGGGGAAACTGAGGCATATGGAGGCCGGCCGGCCCCCCAGCTTGGGACCCAGACAATTTATATCGATGGGGAAACGAAGGTCCCAAGAGGGAGGGGCCACACTGGCTTCTTCATACCAGCAGGCAATGGAGTGTGTACCTCTAGCTCAGCGGTTCTCAACCTGTGGGTCGTGACCCCTTTGGGGGTCGAATGACCCTTTCACAGGGGTCGCCTAAGACCATCGGAAAACACATATGTAATTACATATTGTTTTTGTGATTAATCACTGTGCTTTAATTATGTTCAATTTTTAACAAAATACATCCTGCATATCAGATATTTACATTACGATTCATAACAGTAGCAACATTACAGTTATGAAGTAGCAACGAAAATAATTTTATGGTTGGGGGGTCACCACAACATGAGGAACTGTATTAAAGGGTCGCTCCATTAGGAAGATTGAGAACCACTGCTCTAGCTGGTCAGCGGGAGGGAGGGTGCTGGTCGAGGAGAGTGGGGCCCTGGGGGTGGACCAACAGGCTCTTGGGGCTCCTGAGACCTAAAGCAGGGGGTGGTGTCCACAGGCTGGAAGGGGTTGGCCAGTCGTACGCTCCCTGTGGTGACCAAGGAGGGCCTTACCATCTCACCAGGCAATCTGCTCCATCACGGGCAACACTGCCGAGCCAGAAAGCAGGCAGTGGCTTTTGTCCTGGTGGGCAGGGTCCTGAGTGTCACAAGGTGAGGCTGTGGGCACCCAGCCTAGGCCTGCGAAGGGAAGGAGGCTGGGAGGGAGCAGAGGACAGTCCGGTTGATTCAACCCTCGGTCCTGGTCCCAGCCCCCGGGGGAGCCTTCCCAGCTTCCCCAGGAAGGCTCCACAGCGACGCCTAGAGGGCGAGGAGATGGCTGACAGCAGTGAGTTTTACTACCTGAACTGTTAGCAACTTTTTGTTTAAAGTGACTCACTTTTAAAAATTGAAATACCTGCTTCAGCCTCCTTCTTAGCAATATGGATTTGGGGAGATCATTATACATTTCCCTGATATACATAAAAAGATAACTGTTTCAATAAAAACATTTATTAAGTGGTCTCCAGGGCAGCATGGCCGTCCTTCGGGGACCCTGGAGTCCACCATTCATGAGAGCGGAAGTAGCAGCCACCTGCAGGGCAGGCCCAGGGAGGAGGGCCATGGTTACAAGTAAGGTGGGCTGGTCGCTGAGGGCTTCCTGCCAGAGGAGGACCCTGATAAGCCTAGAAGGATGGGCCAATGTGACATATTCGAACAAGTGGGCAGGGACTGCATGAGCAAAGGAGTAGAGGCTGGAGCAGGACTGGCATGTCTGTGAGGATTAAATGGCCCGCCCCTCACATGCTCACCATGAAGTGGGTGGTCAACCCCACTTAAGAGAGGGGAAAACTGAGGCCCAGGCCCAGACAGGGGTCCGGGGAGGGCCCTGCTCCCCAGGCTGGCTGAGAGGTAAGAACACAGTAGTGCATATGGCTTGCAGGTATATGTGGTCTAGAAGTAACTGAAAATGCCAGGCATCTTCCCTCCCTCCTCCTCACAGAGGGGTCTCCTTTCCCCACTTGGATCAACCTTCCTCTCCCCACCCCCCAAAGCTTTGGCTCTGGGTGAGTTCATCCTCCTCACAATCCTTGGGCCACCAGGCCTCAGTTTCCGATCCCAGGGCACAAGGAAGAGTGATGGGTGTGTATGTGTGCAGTAAAGAAGTCAGCTCTGCCGACTTGGCTGGTTTGGCTCAGTGGATAGAGCATCCCAGGTTCAATTCCAGGCAAGGGCACATGGTTTCAGGCTGGATCCCCAGTAGGGGATGAGCAGGAGGCAGCTGATCCATGATTCTCTCTCATCATTGATGTTTCTGTCTCTCTCTCCCTCTCCCTTCCTCTCTGAAATCAATAAAAATACATTAAAAGAAAAAGTCAGCTCCTCTGCCCAGGGCAATAATATGACCACTGCAAAGTCACTCAGAAAAGACCATAAGACCTGGAGTCCCCGAGGGGCTGGGAAGCACCCTAAATCCCCACTCCCCGCCCTGCCTGCCCCCCACCCCTGGCCTGGGACCAAGGTGGTAAAATCCTGAGGCCACAGGATCCAAACTGGTGCAACCGCCTCTAGACACTCAGCACAGCCTTTGGGATGGGCACGCGGTTGGAATGTCGCTGCCGGTGTCCCGCGTTGCATTCGTGGGGGCAGGGTGTCAGGTGGGTGGAGGGCCACGCGGGGGGCCTCATCGCATCCCAGGAGGTGCTGTCCTAGGCTGCCCAGTGCCTGCAGCGCATTTTGGCCAGGAAGGAGTCGAAGACGGGTTCCGGACGCCCCCTGGCGGGGTTTCTGGATTCGGGTCCCGCCAGGCCTTCCCTCGGGCACCTCTTCTCCGCTCTAGTCCGACCCCCACCCCCGCGCCGGCGCCCGCGCCGCTGAGACCACACAGAAGTCCGCAAACCCTGTCTGATCGGAGGGGGAGGAGCACAGCCCGGCTGGCGACCCGTGCCCCCTCCCAGGCGCCTCTCTGCGTCCTCTGCCTCGGAGCACCGGACAGCACCCAACTCCATCCC